GTGTTGCATCCCGTATGGCCGCGCTGAGGGCCCAGGCGCTGCCAAGCGATGACTCGAGGGAGGACTCGCCTGGGGACGATGCCCGGGACCCGCTGCCTGGTGGGCCGGCGGCCACCCCGGATGCGGTCCGGCGAGAGCCGTACGGCCACCTCGGGCCTGCAGAGCTGCTGGAGGCCTCGCCCGCGGCCCGCTCCCAGCAAACCCCGCCGGTGCGCCTGGTGCAGGCTTCGGCGCCGCCCGCACGTCTGGGGGAGGTACCAGCCACGCCGAGCCGCGTGGTGGAGACCTCGGCCCTACTGTGCTCGTCCCAGCACTCGGTGGCCGCCCCACCGTCTGTGGCGGCAGCGACGCTGTCAGGGCCACAAGTGGACAGCACGGGCGGGGAGCTAGCCTGGGACTCTCCGTTACAGCGCGTCTTGGCGGAGCTTAACCGCATCCCTAGCAGCCGGCGGCGGGCGGCGCGCCTCTTCGAGTGGCTCATTGCGCCTATGCCACCCGATCATTTCTACCGGCGCCTGTGGGAGCGCGAGGCGGTGCTGGTGCGGCGGCAGGACCACACCTACTACCAGGGTCTCTTTTCTACCGCCGACCTAGACTCCATGCTGCGCAATGAGGAGGTGCAGTTCGGCCAGCACCTTGACGCCGCGCGCTACATCAACGGGCGGCGGGAAACCTTGAATCCGCCCGGCCGCGCCCTACCCGCCGCCGCTTGGTCCCTGTACCAGGCTGGCTGCTCGCTGCGCCTTCTTTGTCCGCAGGCTTTTTCGACCACTGTGTGGCAGTTTTTGGCTGTGCTCCAAGAGCAATTTGGAAGCATGGCGGGCTCCAACGTTTACCTCACCCCCCCTAACTCGCAGGGCTTTGCTCCCCACTACGACGACATCGAGGCTTTTGTGTTGCAGCTGGAAGGTAGGAAACTTTGGCGAGTCTACCGACCCCGGGTCCCAACTGAGGAACTGGCCCTGACCTCCAGCCCCAACTTCAGCCAGGACGACCTTGGTGAGCCAGTGCTGCAGACTGTGCTGGAACCGGGAGATTTGCTCTATTTTCCTCGGGGCTTCATTCACCAAGCCGAATGTCAGGATGGAGTGCATTCTCTGCACCTTACCTTGTCCACGTACCAGCGCAATACCTGGGGTGACTTCCTAGAAGCTGTACTGCCTCTGGCAATTCAGGCTGCAATGGAAGAAAATGTGGAGTTTCGTAGGGGGCTGCCCCGAGACTTCATGGATTACATGGGGGCCCAGCATTCGGATTCTAAGGATCCTCGAAGAACTGCTTTCATGGAGAAGGTGCGGGTCCTGGTTGCCCGCTTGGGACACTTTGCTCCTGTCGATGCTGTGGCTGACCAGCGAGCCAAAGACTTCATCCATGATTCTCTGCCTCCTGTGTTGACTGATAGGGAGAGGGCCCTAAGTGTTTATGGGCTCCCAATTCGCTGGGAAGCTGGAGAACCTGTGAATGTGGGGGCCCAGTTGACAACAGAAACGGAAGTGCACATGCTTCAGGATGGGATAGCTCGGCTGGTGGGTGAAGGAGGCCATTTATATCTCTATTATACAGTGGAAAACTCCCGTGTTTATCATCTGGAAGAGCCCAAGTGCTTGGAGATATTCCCCCAGCAAGCTGATGCCATGGAACTCTTGCTCCGCTCCTACCCAGAGTTTGTGAGAGTAGGGGACTTGCCCTGTGACAGTGTGGAGGACCAACTTTCTTTGGCAACCATGTTATATGATAAGGGGCTGCTGCTCACCAAGATGCCTCTTACCTGAACTAGTTTCTTGTTGATTGCTGGAATGGAAACAAGGCAGTGATGATTCTCTCTTACACCACCACCTTTTGGGGGGGAAAAATTCATGTTCTTACCTTGATTACCATCAATGCACTCACATTTACCTTTATGATTGATTCAATGTCATAAAACTCAGATGGTCTTCTAGGAACCACCTCCTCATCTAGGCACAAAAGTAAAAGCAGAGGTTGGAGGAGGAAAGGGGGAATTATTTCTACAGAAGTAACCTCGATTCCTGATTATTTTGCAGTAACCATCACCCTCGGGCTTCAGTGTACTGTGTAGCCCTTGCTGTGTCACTCCGCTTGAGACATTACAAGTTTTTATTTGGAAGTGTTTGCATCCTTAATTTGAGTTCTTGTTCATCGGTTTGGGGTGATGGTTGGGATTGGCATCCTGTTTGTTATTGAGAATTTGTGTGAATGTTAGAAAAGTTATTAAAGTGCCAAAGAATTTCCCTTTTCTAAGGCTAGATTATTATGTGGCATGGTTTAAGGGAATGTGGTGGGCGGGGGGGAGGGAAGATAGGGAAAATTTGTAACGGCTGAGGTGAAAGGTAACTTGAATGGTTGTTTGGGGCCAATTCTATAAGTTTGGGGGTAATTTGTTCATTTTAATCATGCTTCTTGAACCCCAAATAACACAACCCTATTAAAAAAAGTTATGATATAGTATGTTTTTAAGAGTATGGTATGTTTTTGCTAAGTGTTGCTTGCATCAGTGGCTGGCACTGTCTCCTATTTCTGCTATCTTAGGCCTCAGTAAATCAGCTATGTAGCAAGCTGGCCATGAGGGAAGGCTGGTGGTGAAGTTACTTTCCACTCTCATTTTTTTTTGGCAGTTGGAAGAAACTTCCCCATATCAGGCAAGTGAATATTCTCATGGTTGGTGGAAAAGAGCCTGGTGTACCAGAGAGAGCACTGGACTTGGAACCAGAAGACCCGGGTTTGGGGTGGTGGCTGGTAGGCAGCTGGCTGAATGACCTGAGGCTGCTGCTACACATGGGCACACTGATTTTGTAAGTATATATTGGTACAGCTTGATGTCTGCACCTCATCATTTAGGTTGTATCTGGAACTTTTAAATCCTGCCAGCATAACTGATAGGTTCAATTCTATAAGGTTGAGAACTTGATAAAGTCTGTCTTTTAAAGTTGCAAAACCATAGATGTACATAAAGTAAAAATGATAGTTCTCCCTCTAACTGCATTTTCCAGAGACAACTGGAAAACGTATTAAAGGTTAAGCCTACAAGGCTTTTTTGGTGTGCCTAATACTAGTTTTTGTTTCGTTTTATTCATTTTTTTTAACCTAATTTTCAGATCAGTTCAAATAGAGCTCCCTCATTCTTTTTTTTAAAGGAATAAAATAGGCAAATAGAAGCTGGGTGTCGGGGTAGGAAAAAAATAGCAGAAGGACTGAGAAGATGCCCAAGAAGGAAAGGAGGTAACTTTTTCAGGCTCTCATCCTAGGGCTCACAACTAAGTCCCAAAACATCCAGAGCCCGGAAAAGTCTTGTTAAAATCGTAGGACTCACTCCTAGAAAACCTACCATGAAAAGCTTCTTGAAGAAAAGTATGGAGTGTCAGTGGTTTTTGCCCCTCTTTGGGTTGAAAGTAAATATGTTTTGCTTCCGCCTTCACTTTTTTTATGGCTGTCTCAATCTTGAATATTTTCTGCATCAGCAAGTCCTTTTGGTTTAGTTTTTGAATCTAGATCAGAACAAATGATGTTAAAAACAACTGCATTAGGCTGCAGATCATCAAAAAGCACTAGTAAAGTAACTTATTGCATCATGCTTATTAGTATTAGGTGGTACATAAATGCCTGAGAGTATTGTCCTCTTGTGATATTGGTTGAACATTTTTACACCTGTTAATGAAAAGTTTACTTAAGCGTTTTGGGCACGATGAAAGGAATCTGCTAAGAAATGCTTGCATTGTGTGAAGTTGGTTTTTTGAATTATATATAAAGAAAGAATCTTGTACATTTTTAAAATCCCTTTTCCTCTGTTCCTCCACCTCCTCTAACACCTTTGAAAAATTAGAACCATTTGTTCAGCAGGAGTGGTTGTTCTTTTGATGACAGAGCCCAGGTTAGGAATTAAGAAAAGTTTAGAAGGAAAAAGAAAACCTAGGAGGCCAGCTCCAGTCCCACATTCCTTCATTATGCCTGTCTGCAAAAAAGAAAGAAGAACTTTGGTTTAGGAGATGTTGAGGAGAAAATGGGAAGGGAAGGAAACTATTTTAGAAACAACAACAAACCCTGATTTTGAGGGCTACTTGAAGAACTAATAGGATTTTTGCTTTGTTTTTTTTACTAATAGGATTGTATAATCCTGTCTTGCACAGATATGTTCTGTCTTCAAATGGCATGGTGTCCTCGTCTAGGATTGTAGAAAGTGTACCTGTGATGGGCAAAGGGGTATACACATGCTTGGGAAAAGGGTCTGAAACAAAGGCCTGAATTTTTTTCTCTTGAACACACAGCTTGCACTTATCTACCCTGTTCTTGATCTCCTGAAGCAGTTCTCTGTCCCCTTCATTTTCTAAGTTGAATATCTTCATTGCCTGGTGAACTTCCCTGAAAGATAAGAAGGACTTCTTAGATTGTTTCTATCCTTAAAAAAAAAAAAAGCATGAGGGTGGAAAGTATAAGACTGAATCAGACATGAATCCTAAATTCCACTCCTGACTAGGAGGGTTTGCTGAGCCTTATCTGCAAATGGTATGCTGCTTAGCTTATCGGGATGTTGTACAGTTTTTGAGATGATGTATCTGAGGGTACTAATAGGTACCATTTATTTGAACATCTAATTTATTACAGGTACTAAGCATGTCACTTCGTTAATCATCACCACAAACCTGTAAGATAGACTGTTGTCTGCATTTGATATATTTAAAAAATGGGCTTGGAGAGTTCAAGTCACTTACTCAGCCTCACGTAGCTAGTGCAGGCCTGAGCTGGGATTCAAACACTAGACATTTTTTACCTTAAATCCTGTCATCATGGTAGGCACTTGATACATATTAGTTGAAGAAATGAATAACTTAAAACCATTGGGGCTAAAGAATAGGTACATGAACTACATGAACTTGACTTCCAGTCTTATCATAGTTTTTCAGTCACCCATTTGGGTAAGTAGGTGAATGGCACAGGTGAGTCCGAGCTTTTACAGCCAGTAGGCAACCTGGACAGGCTGGGCCATATTCATATTGTATTAACAAAGATGAGAGAGTTGGGGTAGTGGGAGGAACCAGAGGTTTAGTGCTTACTTTAAAACAGCATCATGGTTTTCTAGGAGCAGCACATCTAGGAGGGTGTCCTTGACCCGGTCCCCTTGAAGTTTGAGGGCTAAGATACTACGGCAAGCTTCTAGTCGAACGCCTGGTGACGATTCATAGTGTACGGCCCAGAGCAGGAGGTCTGTCAACTGGGGACTCACTTGGCCAATCTGTCCCAAAGCTGCATAGATGAGAGGGCAGCATGTTCTACTGTCACTCGCTCCAGACTAACCTAGCTATATCCTAATATCCAGAAACAGTCTTAATATATAATGTGTAGGCAGCCCCCTGCTATATTATTATTACAAATGCTAAACTAAGTAGTTTTTGACAATTGACCTAGACTCGGGATCCTTAGCTAAAAATTAAAAAGCAGGAAATAATCTTTAGCTTCTCAGGCAAGGAACTTCTGAGCCAGTGTGATCATTCCCTCCCCTTCCCTCCTCCCCCTTTCTAGAGGAATTCTAGGTGTCATTTGTACAGTACTAGCATATGGGAAGGTGTTTGAAGTCGAGGGCTAGGGCCACTCTGTCATACCTCGAATGGCAAAGGCCTTGACTTTCCAGTAAGGATCTTCCTGTATCAGATTCAGAAGGCATCTAAGGACCTGGGATGGATAAAAGGCAATGTTGAGTGGAGAAGACCAGAGCAAGAATGACCAAGGACAGGGACCTGTCTTGTCTCTAAAATGTAGTATAACTGAAAAATGACGTATCAATTCTAGTGACAAATGAGCTATAGCCTGAAGTACTAACCTGCACACATCATCTGTTAGCCGAATTATCTCATATCTGTAAATCGATTTTCTAAGCTGACAGACTCAGATGGTCATACAGGCCTCTTTTGAAGACCTCCATCAGGTTTCCCCTAATAACATGGGATTACAACTTCTTTCATAGGAGTTAATCCTGAAGCCCACAGCTGAGGTGAGAATAGGATTCAGGGATGTGATCTAGAGTGAAGTCTGGCATGGCTGGGAGATAAATGTGGTCCCAACTGATTGATGTGGCCTATATACTCCCTCACCTTCCTGGTTCTGATCTCTCATTCTGTGTCCCCACAGAATGGTGAGTGTACTATGCACACCAAGGGAAGCTCAGGTGTAATGCCCTCTTCTGTTTGATCAGGTAAGATGGGATCATGTTTCCTTGACTCACCATTGCATTACGGATCTGCAGGGCACCTGCTGCTAAACAGGCTGCCCGCCGAACTGCCATGAAGTCATCAGAGAAGCAGTTTAGGAAGCTTGGGAGAAGCTTGGCGGTCATGAGCTTGAGCCCACCAATCAGAGACAGGGCTTCCACACGCTCTTGGGAATTTCCTTGACACAGCTTGACTCTGGAAAGCACAGGTGCTTTTATTTTTGTCTCCTTAAAAACATGCCCTGGCTGGCGTAGCTCAGTGGATTGAGTGCGGGCTGGGAACCAAAGTGTCCCAGGTTCAATTCCCAGCCAGGGTACATGCCTGGGTTGCAGGCCATAACCCCCAGCAACCGCACATTGATGTTTCTCTCTCTCTCTCTCTCTCTCTCTCTCTCTCTCTCTCTCTCTCTCTCTCTCCCTCCCTCCCTAAAAATAAATAAATAAAATCTTAAAACAAAAAAAACATGATGCTCCCTCCCCTACAATGCCCTCAGGATAAAATTCAGCCTCTGTAGGCTCTCCATTATTCATTCTCACCCTTCCCTGTCAGCCTTATCCTCATTAGGTTAAGTTTCACTGGGTAGATACTCAACTGTCTTATTTACTTGAATCCTTATTACCTGGCATGGGCGAGGCACTAAACTATGTTTAATGACTAAAGACTAAAAAGAAACTTTCAAACATGCACGTCTTGCTTGCTACAGTTCTCTCCACTGCCTTCACATGTGCCATGCATATTTCTTCATTTGACCAAACCAGAATGTCTTCCCTTCTCCTCTCTGCCTGTGTAGTCTTATCCATCCTCCATGGAACTTGACCTTAACTAGGCATTTGTGTATCTTGCCTGTATAATCAGAGTCATGTCCATGATTTTGAACTCTTTCAATCATCCAAAACAGTGCCCAACACCTTGTGGGCACTCAATTAATGATTCTTTCCTTAGCCACATTGTTTGTGTCTATAGGGACTGTTAGCTTTTTGTTGTGTTTTTAAAAAATAATCCTGCATTGGAACTTAGTACAATGCTGAGCGTACAGAGCAGCTCCATGAAGGCTGGCTGGCTGGCTGGATCCCAGGGCCCCTGAGCACTTAAGAATAGGAAAGCTGCTTTCTTCATGGTGACCAGGTTTACCTGATTGTGTCATGCACCTCTTTCCCAAGACTCATTTGCCCCAGAGCTTTGGCAGCTGCTTGTCTTACTTCCTTATGCCAGTCATTCCACATCAGCTGGATCAACTTATGTTTTATATCCTACAAATAGGTGTAATAATTAGCTACCATTTATTAAACATCAGTTTCATACTTCACTGTGCTAAGAGTTTTCACCCTTTGCTTAATCCTCTCAAACAATCCAGTGAGGCAGATATTACCATTTACAGATGTCAAAATGCAGGCTTAGATTTACTTGCCCAAGGTTAGCAGTTGAGTGCTGAAGCCACGACTCAGACCCAGGTCTGTTTTCCAGTATCATGATGTAACCTATACTTGAGACACTTGAATAGGGTGGCCAATTCACCCCAGTTTACCTGATACTTTCCTGGTTTAAGTACTAAAACTCATGTTCTGGGCAAACCTGGACAGTTGGCCACCTATTGATACTTCTCTCAGAGAGGAAGGGACAAAGATTATTACAGTTGTAGTTGATGATTGTGTGAATGTGTCCAAGCTGTTCTTCCTGTCAGAAACATCCCTTTTCACCTTTACCTGGTACCTGATGTTTTCCTACTATGATTTTTATGATTTACCTCAAAAAGCATCTCCTCGGTGAACTCTCCTTTGTCCCTTACAAGCATAGGAAAACCCTATAATACCTTAAAGTTGCTTCTGTTGTAGTTATTTATAACTAAGTAAAGACATTATCTTTGCATCCCCAATGATAGCATGGTGCCTAGCATGTCGGATATATGGTCAGAAACTGCTTGCTTACTGATGTGGTGAACTGATGGACATAATGTCTTTCTTAATTCCCGCAGTCTGGTGTAAAATTCTCATCTTTTACCCCATCCCCTGCTTGCTCTGCAGGTCTTTTCACTTTTAATTGGCAATCCTGAGTGACAGCTGCTAAGGGGATGAATGTACAAATGAATCAGATGTTAAAATGATATTGTTAAGATGCAGATTCTGAAGACTTCTGGTCGAGATGGTGGTATAGATAGACACGCTTCGCCTCCTCAGGCAACCACAGAGAGAATTACAACTATATCTCAGAACAGATAACACACAGAACTATCAGAAAATTAAGCTGTATGGAAGTCTGACAACCGAGGATTTAAAGAAGCCACATTCATCCAGATGGGAGGGAGAGGCAGAGTTGTGGTATGGTGTGGAGGGGCTGCAGTGGTGGTGGAATGGCAGTTCCACACTCACATATGGTGGATAAAAATTGGGGGGGATACCTTGGGAGCCAGTAATCCCAGGCCCAGGCCCAGTCTGCACAGCCCAGGGTTCCAGCACCAAGAAGATAAGTCCCCATAACTTTTCTCTGTAAAAACTAGTGGGGGTTGGGGCAACAGAAGAAACTGCCGGATTTTCAGGAGACTCAACTTAAAGGGCCCACCTGGACTTAGAACATATGCAGACCCACCCATTCAGGTTCATCGCCAGGGCTACAGCTGGAAGAGTGCCGGTTGCATCCGGGAAGTGGGTGAAGTGACTAGAAACAGGGCGAGTGCCAGGCAAGCCTCCAGAAGCCAGGCAGCAGATTTTTCCCCTCTCCGAGCCACCCGCCCCTCCCATAATTAAAATGCCAAAGGTTAAAGAGAATCTTAAAGGAAGCAAGAGAAAAGTAGAGAGTTACCTACAGAGGAGTTTCCATAAGACTGTCAGCTGATTTCTCAAAAACAAAACTTTGTAGGCAAGAAGGGACTGGCAAGACATACTCAAAAAGCAAGGACTTAAAACCTAGATTACTCTATCCAGCAAAGCTATCATTTTGAATGGAAGGTTAGATAATGTGCTTCCCAGACAAGGTAAACCTGAAGGAATACACCATCAACAAGCCATTATTACATGAAATGTTAAAAGGACTTATTTAACAAAAAGATCAAAACTATGAACATTAAAAGGGCAACAAAGTTACAACTATCAACAACTGAATCTAAAAAATACAAACTAAGCAAACAACCAGAACAGGAACAGAATCAGATATGATTTGGTAGGTACAAAATAAGATAGGGGGATGTCAAGAATAGTATAGGAAATGGAGAAGCCAAAGAACTTATAAACATGACCCATGGACATGAACTAAGGTGGAGGGGGCGGATTGCTGGAGGGAAGGGGGTACTGGGCAGAGGAGGGCAAAGGGGAAAAATTGGGACACTGTAATAGCATAATCAATAAAATATATTAAAAAAATAAATTTTAAAAAAGGTGCAGATTCTGATTGAGTTGGCCTGAGGTGAGATTTTCACTTCCAACAAGCTCCTGGGTGCTACCTGGTGATGTTCCTGGTCCAGGACTTGAGCAGCAGGGTACTAGAGCAGTTGAGACAGAATCTTCAGGTAATTATATCGAATGACCAGATTTCATGCTTTCCACATCGAAGTATGAGGATCAAAGACTAGAAGGTGTTCGCTTCTCATGGGAATGGGAATGTTCTGGGCCATTTTGTTAGAAGGAAGAGATGTAGGGACACATAGGTGGAAGGGAAAATTCCCATTCGGATAGCTGAAGATGATTAAAAAGTGATGGCAAGAAGGAGGTCAGGTAGAAGCCTAAATGATGGTCAGGGTTTTTCCTGCTGAAAGTCCCCCTTCAGTTCTATCCACGTCTTGCTCGGCTGTGTCTCACACTCCTTCCCATAACTTTAACTGATAATGTCAGTTTGGTGATCTCTCTTAAAAGTACTAAAGCACCTTACACTTATTGCTTGTTCTTGCATCATTTGTGTATGTTAGTCTTGTTATTCCAAATATAATGTCCGTTTTTGAAAGTAGGGGTTGTGTTTATACCTTCTTTATATGTGTGCTAGACACTCAGGGAAAGCCAGCATTGACACCAGTGTAGTTGGGTTATTGAGTGGTTTAAGTCAGTGCTTCTTAAACTATCTGACCAAGGACCAGTATTTGAGTGGCAAAATGTCATTGACTGATACAATAGTACATTGATATTGAGGTAATGTCAAATCACTATAAAAGTTTTTAAACTCTGGGGTTTCTTTCTTTCTTTCTTTCTTTCTTTCTTTCTTTCTTTCTTTCTTTCTTTCTTTCTTTTCTTATTTCATTGTAGATGGGTAATAAACAGTTTGTGGACTGCCACCAAGCTGAGAAGCAGTGGCTTAAGTCGCAGAAAGCCATGTTGACATCTGAAGGTAATTCTGGGTTAGGACTAAGAGGTAGCAATGGGAGGACAGAGGTCTGTTTGGTAAAAATGGGGTACCAGATAGCAGCAATAGGTCGAAGGGCTCACTAGCCTAGACTGTCTGCCCTGGGAGCACAGAAGGAGAAGGCTTACCAAACAGACAGTTCCACTGATGCGAGAGAGAGCCCGGCAGGCCACAATCCTGTCCTTCCACTGACGGCTGTTCAGCTCCACAGCAAGTATGGTGTGTATCAGGCTCTGAGGAAATGGAAGACTTGTATGGATATTCATGATCATCTTTAGAGATGCTCGAGATGCTCAAAGAACTTCCATCCCAACATGGCGTCCAGCATAATTAATGTCACAAGTACATGAGATGCCCAGCCCTAGAAAAGGGTGGGTTTATAAAATTTGGAGCACTCGTCCATCTAAGCCAGCTGACTTCTGGGATCAGGAATCAGGGAACAAAATACAGATTTTGTAATCTGAACAGAAAACCCCTGGGGCCTTCTCCTTTTGACTTGAACTATCTTTACCCCTAAAATGATTTTTATATGCTTCAGTCTTTGTGTTTTACATTTCTGCTGAAAGTAAACAGAATCGTAGGTCTGCATGGTTTTCAAGGGTAAACTTGCAGCAGAAGTAAATTCTACATGTCACAGTTCTTATTACATACACAGAACCTTCTGCAGCCTACTTTTCTCACCTTTCTCTAAGCTAGCTGTTGTCACTTTTCCCTGTATACACTTCTACACCCCAGTTCCATCACACTGAGTCTGGTTTTACCTGTGCCTGAGATCATCCTACCCAACCACCTGCATTTTGGATTCTTACATGCACTGATCTCAAAGGCCCAACTGTTCCCCTGAATGTGGTTCCTGTTTCTGACCCTAGAATGGACACATACCGACTTCCCACTGAGATGGCTCAGGAGCATGTATGCCTGGTGCTCAGTGTCCTCATTCTTCTTGTAAAACAGCTGATGGAGGATCTTCTTAATCACGGGGTAAGTGGCAGCACCCTCCAGAGCCAAGCACTGAGCTGCAGCCCAGCTGTCCACGGTATTGCCTGCCACAGGGGTGAAAAAGGAGTCCCGATAGCCAACCTCTTTTCCCCACAGAGAGAACAGCCTTTGGGTGCCTGCTACCTCACTTCCCTGTGCCCCTTTCAGTCCAGAGATCCAGTCCCATATTTGAGCCGTATTTAAATGGGTCATATCAAAATTTTAAATATAGACTGAAAATCTTAACCTGAAAAGTTAAGTCCTAAAAGGCTCTTGTTAGGTAACAGCAGTAAGGCCCTGCTGGCTTGGCTGAGAGATACAGTTGTTCCTGTAGAGACTGGGGAGCCTGAAGTGGAGGCTTTCTTAAGCAAGATGAATCAACTTGTTGAGTGTCTATGTGCAGAAGGCCAAACCAGTCAGCCAGTTGTCCTTGTCTGGGAGTTGGGGACAGACAAGGACCAGACTCATCTCTGAGCAGTCAGGCACCTTGGACTATCATTGACCTTTTTGCTTGTACTACTCCAGCAATGCATGTGGACAGTGCCTGAAAGCTAATGCGAAAAATGGAAGCATGGTGCAATGTTCTAATTTTCATATCATATTTTCAATTATATCATATTTCAATTAAAGGAAATTCCAGTTGTGTGAAAGAAAGGGCATGGTTCCTAGTTAAATGCTTCTGTGAAACCCTTTGCCCAGGTACCACTAGGTGGCAGTGTGCCTATTTTGTAAAACTACTTAGGAAGAACTGTTTTGTATGTACTTAAGATGAGCACAAACCCAATACAGTAGATATCACAGAGCATGATAATGGAGAAGAAAGGGTTAAAAAAAGCTTGATGGTAAGATATCTTCTCTTTGCCCCAAATTCCCAGGTCAGAAGGAAAAGGGAGTTACTCACCCTTCAAAAGGGCAGTCTGCATGATGTCCTGGGCAAGGGGGTTATGTGACTCCATGGCATATTGGCATATCGCGGCTGCCATCTGCACATAAACATTCTTGTCATGAAGAGCGGCCTCCAAAGCGGACTTGAGGACCTCTGGCAAGTCCTGGACCATTGGGGCTTTCATAGTCTCCTCCTTGTCTGTGATGAAAATAAGAGCTGGAGGAGAGTGCTAACCCCTTTGCTTTTCTCTGAAACAGAGCTTCCTTCCCCTAGCCACGTGGCTAGCCAAGTGGAACTTGCTGGTGCTTACTTCTGCATAATATGAGTTTAGCTGAGCCCCTATGATGGGTAGGATTTTACAGCTCACTTCTGTGCTGGGTAGGCCAGTTCCCAATCCGTTATCATCTGGCCTCAAAGGAGCTATATTCAGGCGGAAGAATGCTTCCAGCTAGGCTATGGTAACTTTGACCATAAGTTTTAGGATGAAAATCAACTTATTTACCCTATCTATTTTTGTACTTTTACATTACATCATGTATTTTTAGTAATAATAGCAGTTATATTTAGGTTAGTGCTTTGCCATTTATACAGTGTTTTCATAGTCATCTCATTCGGTCTTCACTGAAGTAGGCAAGGCAGGTATTATTGAAGAGCTCACTTGAGATAGGTGTACTTAAGGAGTCTTTGTTTAAACAGTCAGACTCACAAGGCTGTCAGGGTTTGCACATGGAACCAGTCTTCGGAAGGATATAGGGTGGGAGCACAGTTGGCCAACAAGGCAGCATCAGGCACTGCTTTCGGCCAGAGTTCTTGAGGTGGTTTGTAAAGCATTCCACAGAGCCTTTTAGGGACAGCTCAGGAGCATGGAATCCACTCTGTATGCAAGTCTTATGTCTCACAGGAGTTAGTATCTTTTATAACAACTCCATAAATATAATTCTAGGGTCCCCAAAGGGCATGCTGTGATGTAAGTCCCAGCATTCATGGAAACTTAAACAATGGTACTCCTTGAGGTATTTATAGTTCATGTATCGTTCTTCCCAGTCCAAATGTAATTAATGAATCAGCACTCATTTTTATTATAAGCAATGTTGCCTGTAAATATAGTTCCTGTCCTTATCAGGTTATCAGGGTAACAGGCGGGCATTTAATTAAAGCTCAAATTCTCAAGTAGAAGGGTAAGGGTTTTATTAACCTTTTGTCCACAACTATCCTCATTTTATAGGTAAGGAATGTGAAACTCAGAGAATTTAACTGACTTCCCAGGAAGCTCGACCCATGACTAAGATTTTAGGATTTTTAATCTGTCCTTTTTACTACCGCTGCAGGCTGCTAAGCCAACTGTTAAGAATGGGCTAGATGGAAATCTGAGTATTTAAAGGGAATAGATAGAAGTCAGCTGAGTGTTTTAAGAAATAATGAATAGATCATTTTCTTCAGGATGGTGGGGGGAGGAAATAGGACAAATCAAAATCTGGACACCTAGGACACGTGAAAGGGATCACATGAAAAGCATAGTTCTTCTGATGGAAGACAAAGGTGTCTGTAAGTATGCGGAAGATTTGGGGATATGGTTATATCTGTTGCTGCTTATTGAAGGTTTTCTCCATGTGTCAGACACTGAACATATGAGGTCTGTCTGGAAAAGTCCAGCCATTGTTACTGTAGCGAGAATGATTTGCACAACATCCATGTAAACTGGCAGCCAAGGAGAATGTACTAGAATGAACATGTGTGAACACTGACAACTTCACTTGTACTAGTCAATGATAGATGCCATTGAGTGAGCATGTGTACTGTGTGGCCATTACATTCAAAATGACTGAGTAGAGCAACAAATCTGCATCAAATTTCATGTTAAGCTTAAACATTCCTCCATGAAAACTGGATGATTCAAAAGGCTGTAGCTATGGGCAACTGGTGATTGGCAGCTTTATCACAACAACATGCCTGCTCATGCATCATTCATGTCTTGTGCAAAGTTTTTTGCAAAATTATCAAATCATCCAGGTGTCTCAGACCCTCTAACAGCCCAGATTTGGCGCCCTGCAACTTCTGGCTTTTCCCAAAACTAACATCACCTTTGAAAGGGAAGAGATTTCAGACCAACAGTGAGATTCAGGAAAACACAACAGCATAGCTAATGGTGATTGGGAGAACTGTGTGAGGTCCCAAAGTGCCTACTTTGAAGGGGACTGTGGTGCCATTGTCCTATGTACAGTGCTTCTTGTATCTTCTTCAATAAATATCTCTATTTCATATTACATGTCTGAATATCTTCTGGACAGACCTTGTATATCATCCCATTTAAACCCAAGGAAATAAGCAGTTATAGTAGAAAATGTACATGTGTGGTCACATGTACAGCAGGGACACCAAACCAAGTATGGGGCAGGGAAGACTCCTCAGAGGAGGTGACATCTTAGCTGCAAATTGAAGGGCAAGTATAGAAATTAATCAAGTGAAGAGAGGAAGAATTTTCCAGCAGAGGGAGCAGCGAATTTGAAAACTTGGAGGAAAAATGCCCATATCTGGAACTCAATAGACAAGATATAAGTGAAAGGAAACTTTAGAAACCTAACAACTTTGTCGAACTAAAATTAGTCCCTGCCCTTAAGGAGTTCTTGCCTACTAGGAATGGCAGAACAGTAAATAGACAATTATGACAGAGTGATAAATATTAGGACAGGAATAGTAATATTAGGATGGTGCCCTGGCTGGTGTGGCTCAGTTGGTATAAAGCCAAAAGGTCATGGGTTCAACTCCTGGTCAGGGCACATGTCTCGGTTGCGGGTTCAACCCTGTCGGGGTGTGTATGAGGCAACGGATTGATGTTTCTCATGTTGACATCTCTCTCCCTCTGTCTTTCTGTCTTACCACCCCCCCCAAACATAATAATAATATTAGGATGGTACCAGCAGCAGAGAAAGAGAAAGTGTCAGCTCAGGCTTCACATTGAAAAAAGGTGGTATCTGAGAGGGTGCTCGAGGGATACGTGTCCATTGGTTTTATGTCCTTGCAACGGCATTTCTAGTTTCCACCACCTGGGTCCTGTGTCTTGTTAAACCAGCTCCTCAGTAGATTACAATCCTGTGTTAGTGCCTGTTTGTGCTAACTGAAAGAAATCTGAACAGGGTTTTCACATTTATGAAAAAGCCATTACTGTACTAATGTAGGTCTTCCATAAAAGCGAAGTGGCGTATGTGACCTTTCAGAAAGTGGTGGCTAACTCTTCACCTTACGCCACTTTGGCCTATAGACAGTTTTACAGGAACATTCTACTTTCAGGTAGCAGGGAAACCTGTATATAGTATTAAGCAGTCCATTTCTGGCTCACCTGGGCACCCCTGGCCCATGGCAGTCCGGGGCCGTTCCAAAGCAGCTGTGGCACATGTGACGATAGCTTGGATCCGAGTATTATTATTCCTGTCCACCAAACTCTGCAGCAGACCCTCTACTGTCTTGTGGCGCCACTCGACGACTGTGGCACAGGGAGGGAAATGGGAAGAGTACCACCGGGTTAGGGCTAGATATTGTACTGCAGGCAGGTGACAAGCAGTCCTCTCCCCCCAGGACAATTCAAGCAAAACATTAGTTCAGAAAAACAAAGGGCCCCATAGATGGCCCCTTGGGGAAGTTATTTCTCTGACCCATGTCCTCTCTAGGTCAGTTCCCAAACGAAACTCCCACCCACCCCCAACTCATATTCGGTCTCTCTTGGCTTCAATAACTCTTTTTGTTACCATCTAGAAAATAAAAGGGGCAATAAAAATAGTGGTTAAAAGCACTTTGCTGTGAGACATACCTGGTTTAGAATCATAGTTATTGTCTGTGTGTCCTTGGATAAGTCACTTAACCTGTCTTAGCTTGATTTTTCATTTGTAAGACGGACCTATTAGCACCTACCATATTGAGTGACTGAGTAGTAAATGCGATTAACTAGACAAAGTTTAGCAAAGCACCTGTCAAGTTACCAGGTTTCCTTGCCTTTGAAGGCTCCACTCTCTGGCTTTCAAGGTCTTCCTCCTTTTATTGCTAACTGCCCTCTTTGTAGGTATCAAGCTTTTATTTCATTGTTCCCACCTTCTGTAGTTGCTCCCTATCAGCAGCTGTTACCCAGAATCTCTGTCTTTATTTTTGTTTATCTGATCTAGTTTATGAATCTCCTCTCTTTCTCCTGCACTAAATTCTTTTATGTTCCGAAAGACAGCATCTACAGGATTTGAAGGCTCACATAGCTTCCAACAGCCCTGGCGAGACCTTTACTCTGCCCCAGGCATTCAGGCTCCCGCCCCCATATCTCTAAAGGCAAAGTAGGTGTATGATAATCCCAACCCCACAGATGAATTTTGGAGAGGGGCTGTTTATACCACAGACAACTGCCATTTCCTTTAATCATTACATTTTCATTGCTTGGGCAGCGTATTTCATCCTCCCCTTCACGCAGTATTTATTGAACATAAAGTTTCAGAGGTCAGTGAGTTAAGAGGTCCCTGCCTGTGAAGAGGTTTCAACAGAGCGAGTTTTCACAAATTACTGAAGTAAAACCTGCCCGTGCAAAAAGCAACCAATACATGTCCACTAACATTGTGTTAAAGGCCCTTGTCTAGTCTAACCTTGATGAGGCCACTGGGTTTATATGTTTTACAAGAGAGGGATGGATTTTCAAAGACTGAAAAACACTAGTCCGAGGGGAGACCCTCCTCCCCCACAAATACACACTGATCTCCGCAACGCCCCCGCCCCCGCCCCTGCCCTCCGCCCTCCGCCCTCCGCCCTCCGCCCTCCGCCCTCCGCCCTCCGCTCACCAAGGGCCCAGGCAGTCTTCCATTCCTGCAGCATCCTTTGCAGAACCGCCAGTTTCCAAGTCCCATCCTCCTCCGGCGATTCTGCCTGTGTCTTCAGTTTCCTGGTCTTAGTGGACATGTCCTCTTCACCCCCTGGCGACAGCAGATCCTCGACCCGGGTGGGCAAAGCAGTCCAGCACAGGGCTCCTTTCACGGGCCTGCAAGCTGCAGTGGGACAGTCACGAGGAATTCTCACCCCACTGCCCTAGGTCCTGTGTTGCAGCTAGCATCACATTCCAATTCCTGACTAAGACTGAAGCAAAACAATATACTAAAGAGGGAACTTCCCTGTGATTGTAATGGAAACTGAGTACAAATCCCATAGGGAGTTATGAGAAGTCCTGATTACAGACACGATAAAGCCACGATGATGGGGGAGAGGCTGGGGGAAAACTGAACTATTCACAAACGTTTCTATAAGTTTAATAAAGCTTTAGGAACGTAAATATGTTCATATGTGAAAATGTTGCTCATAAAATACAATGTTTGATATATTGCCATTTAGAGTGTAATTGGCCACTAATTCCTAATTTACTAAGCTTTCTTTTTAATGTTTTCAATTTGGGAGGCGGAACGGTACTACAAGTGACTAATTTTAAAGATTTTTAGCAACTCTATAAAGATTTTAGTAAATAACAGTTGGAAATTTGAGAACAGATGAAAAGATTATATAAGTATAGTTGTTACATAAAGATAGTCATAGTTGTGTTTTTCCACGCCGACTGACTACGCTCCTTGGTGTGAAGTACAGAAGGCCTCTTTCTCAGAGGATGGTTGTGTGGAGGAGAAGGCCAGCCAGATAAAAACGTTTCCGGATTACTAAATTCGTTGTTTGCCACACTGCTTCTCCGTTTCATGTCCTGGTCTGTCACTGTCAGCTGTGTGTCTGGTTTTCCAGACTTCGCTCTAACTCCAATGTGTTTAGATTTCCTCTGAATTCATTCTTTCCTTTGAGCAAGGAGGGCAATGCCATTTCTTCTAGCATAGAAAGAGTCCTGTGAGACTCCAGGACAGCTCAGCTCAGAGGCCTGGGCTGAGCCTACCCTCCAGATGGTCCCCGCCCAGCTGGGTCGCACCGGGGGAACTCAGTGCCCCTGTTCAGGGCATCTTTCCTCTGCAGCGTGTACAGGACGTGCACACCCAGAAGCCATAGAACCAGCTCCAGACAGGTCAGCTCCCAGTGAGCAGATACTTTGCCACATGACGCTCCCGCGCTCCTCTCAGCCGCCTTGAAATCCCTCCCATGGAAGTGAGAGGTAGCTGTTCCTCCTGCATCCCCCTGCTCAGGGGGTTAAAAAGGACGTGGTGAGGAAGTCTGAACTCTGGTGTGTAAGCTCTGTGGGACTAAACATGTCCAACTGCCAACATTCATTTTACTTCCCGTCCTGAGCTCTGTACAGATAGACACACGTCCACTGTCCCCCTTCCACATGCAAAGCCGTCTATGGGAGCACTCAGCGGAGAAGCCCTTCGATTGTCCCTGGGACCAAAGGCGCCGTCCCCTTTGCTGGCAGCGACAGACAAGGCCTCTGTGACTTGTACCTAAAAGCCTGTGCTTGGGGCATAGGAACCACAATGAGCTGAGCACACTAGAGAGTTTTCTGTCATGATTTGGGGGCTGGGGGTGGGGGGGGATTAAAGGCCATGTAGTAACAAGCATGCTTTGTTTCTTCAGAATTTTTATCATTTTAAAGAGGTTACCATCTAAATTTTTCAGTTCCATCAAAATGGAGAGGAAAGAAATAATCTACCCACATCTAACCTCAGGAAGTTTTCTATTATTTCCAGGTTCTTTCACACTCAGTATTTCCTGAGATGAGATGATGAATAAAATGGTTATAAGAAGATGTGTATCTATTACTGTTCTGACTTGACTTCACCCAGATCAATTTCAAATACTATTTTAAAAAGAAGTTTGATGTAAAAAAATCCTACAGCATCAGCTCTGTGATTGGGAGGGAAAGAAGCAAGTGAGACAGGTGGTGAAGCTTCTGTGAATGCATAGGGGCCTCGGAGGGTGTTTTAAAATAACAGCTTTGTTGAGGTAGAATTCACATACTGTAAATTTCATCCTTCTAAAGTATGTACAGTACGGTGCTTTTTAAATAGATTTGCAGAGCTGTGCGGCTATCACGCAGCAAGCACTGCTCAACTTTCTGTCTCTGTGGATTTGCCTGCAGTTAGAGGAGAGGACGTACAGAATAGAGCTGGCTTGTGGGGAAGGTAGTGTACAAATAATAATGCCTTGAGTTCGTATAGCACTTAATGGCTTTATAAAACATTTTCACAAAATCACCCTGGCTGGTGTGGCTCAGTGGGTTGAGTGCTGGTCAAGTGAACCGAGCTCATTTCTTGGCTATTTTCCTTCCTTTTGTCTTATTTGTCTTACAGAAGGAAGAGTGATGCATTTGTGACACAGAAACTTGTGAAATACACAGCCCGAAGCAGGTACAATGAGCCTAAGAATGGTGTAGGAGGGTAGAGCCGGCCCAAGGTAATAGGGCAGAGTACTGAATCAGGGGTTTGATGAACTTCTGGAAGCATTAAGATGGGATCTGCCTTATTGGTAATTACTGGTTCTAACCCACGTTATTACACATAAGCTTTATCTGATTTCAACTGAATGGATGTTTCACAAAGCCTCTTCCTAGTCATAGTTAGTGTTTTATAATTTCATGAGGTAATTTTTAGTTGGTAGGAAGGAGCTTCCCTAGATGCTGGTGGTGCCCCACCCTATGAAACAGGGGCCTTAAAGAAATAGCCACGCCCTTGCTGGTGTGGCTCAGTTTCTTGGAGCATCTTTCTGTAAATGGAAAGGTTGAGGGTTCAATTCCTGGTCAGGGCACACGCCAGGGGTGGCAGGTTCGGTCCCCATTTGGGGCACGTGGGAGAGGTAGGAGAGGCTGCCGAGAAAGTTTCTCTTCCTCTCTCCCTCCCTTCCCCTCTAAGTATGTCCTCAGGTGAGGATTAAGAAAAAAAAAAAAAGGAAAAGAAATAGCCACACTTCCACCTTTACGCCCATTATCATCCCCCTGCTTACGTGCTTCAGGAATTGGCTGGAAAGTCCACCTTTCTGGGCTTTCAGGGAAGACCTTAAGTAGCTGCTTATTGTACCGGTTGCGATTTTCCAGGAAAATTTGGTCTCTCTTTGCACCAATCTGGTGGACGACCTGGACTTTATCTATGAACAGATAAAGAAATAATGAGTCAAATAAATAAAATATGCAGAAGGGATAGAAGAAGAAGGAGAAGGAGAAATAATGAGTCCCCAGCATCTTCCTTCTCCCTCCTCCTGTGTTTCCAGTCCCCAGGATCAGACCCGATTTCATTTGACCCTGCTCCCGGCCCCCAGAACTCATGACTGCCGTGCTCTCTCTATGAGGCTTGGAAGTCAAGGCAGAGCCTGCCTAACTTATAGGTATTGCCCCTATGAAAAGCTAGATACTAACGAAGGGCCACCCAACTCATCTCTTATCGGTCTTAAGTACTACTTCGTAAGCACTTTAAGGAGACTTTCAGTTGATAGCAGCTTAGGAACAAGATGGGGGTTGGGAAGAATAACCGCCTTGGAACACGCAGACCTAGACTGTGTATCCTGGGAGCCCGGGCATCTAGAGGACAGCAAGGTGGAAGGGGAGGGTAATGGACATTTACTGGGCATTTATAGATGCTTTGTCATCTACTCTTTACATAAAGTGCATTTTTTAAAAAAGATTTTATTTATTAACCTTTAGAGAGAGGAGAATGGAGGGAGGAAGAGGGAGAGAAACATCGATGGCTTGCCTCCTGCACGCTCCCAGCTGGGCACTGGGCTGCAACCCAGGCATGCGCCTGACGGGGGATTCAAAACAGCAACTTTTTGGTTCACAGGCCAGCACTCAATCCACTGAGCCACACAAGCCGGGGCAAGTGCATTTTTGTTAATACTGTTTTACAAGAAAAGGTACCTAAGGCTCAGATGGATTAGATAATTTCCTGAAGGTTAGTAGGAAGTGGTTAAGCCAGGATTTAAACCAGGATCTGCGTGACTCCAAAGCCTGCGATTTTTTTCTAGTGTAGCACCTCCGTGAAGGAGTATCTCAAAGTGAGAGGAGGGAGAAGGGTGCACAGAGAAGAGGTAGTTTGTTCCCAAAGCCAAATCTCGATTGCTTTACAATCCCACCCTCCACCGCCTCCTTAGTAAGATAGAAGGATAGAGAAAGGAGGAAGAGGGAGAATAGTTTGCCCTCTGCCAGGGACCTCTAACCACCCCTCTGGGCAAAAACAAACAAACAAACAAACAAACAAACAAAAACAGCTCCTGGGCAAGTGACCAGGGACTATTACTGTGAATACAAGGGTATCCAGGGCCTCATCCACCCCTGTGACTGTTTCATCCCCTGGCTACCTTCCAGCTCCCTGCTCCATGCCTACCTTAGTGCCCACCACAGGGCCCCAGCTCTATTACCAAAGTAAATATCCTGTTCGAAGGTGTTGTCGGTGGAGTAAGCAAACTTTCCAGCCCGAGGATTCACCTGCCGGAAGCAGCTCTGGTCTGGGGGCTGCCGGATGCCCCTCTCTTCATTGATTTCCTCCGCAGTCTTATTGTGGCCAGATGTAGTTTTAACTTTCTGCCGTTGTGGTAAGTACTCGGGCAATCTTGGCAGGACAGAGAGAGAGGGGAGACAAAAGGAGGGAAAGGTAGGAGATGGGCTTGTCCCCTTTCCACCAGGTTCACAGCTCACTCTCTTTCCTTTTTAAGCTCAGCTCATACACGCATGAGCATTGGAAGAACACCTGTATTCAACTAATGGCCTTGCTCCCAAGGTGCCAGTTGAATGTGGAGCTGCCAGAAGGGCCTGTCTGCAGTCACCTTCCCCTGCCCCTGGTGGAGCCACCCCTTCTGCAGACCCTGGACAGCACAATAGAGAGCCCGTCCTCCCAGCATTATCCTTCTTCAACACTGGTGCCCTTAGAGGTTGCCCGGACTTCAGGAAGGGAACCTGCCTCCCTGTTACCTCCTACGTTACCATTCTGTGTGTAAGCAGTGGGCAGACTGTAAGCTCCCTAAAGGGTGGGTCCACACCTGCCTCACTCACGTTGCATTCCCAGCACTTAGCAGAGCAATTGGGAAGTAGTGGGAATGCAGTTTATATTTTTCTAATACATGAATAAATCAATGGGTTTGCACTTACTTTTTAGTTCACTTTTGGGAATCAGAGATATTACGATAGCTCCCGTCTTCCCCGTAGCTATAAATGAGAAGGAAGCAACCTGAGCAATGCACTCATCCTCTTCCCTCAGGTTGCTTCCTTGTCTGACCTGCTGCCAGTCAGTTTTCAAGTCAGTGACGTGCTGGCTCCTTATTCAAAGTGAGGCAGGGCCAAACCTCAGAGCCAGGGGGCTCTGCCTTCCTTCCTTTCACCATGGGTGCCTTTCTGGGAGCACCTGGATAGTGACTGGATCAGCAGGAAGGGAAAGGCTGAGAAGCAATCCCTTAAAGGCAGTGGTTCTCCATAGGGGGTGATTTTGTCCCTCAAGGGGACGTGTGTCAGTGTCTGGAGAGTACTAGCGGCATCCAGAGGAATGCTGCTAAGCACCTTGCAATACACAGGGCAGCCCCCTGTGTATTATATTACCTAGCCCTGAATGTCAGTGCCAAGGTTGAAACTCCTTACTTTATGGAGACCTAAAGAACAGGCTGGCAGTAGAAAACACAGGAGGTTCATGGGAGAGTGTAAGCCCACCCAGGAATCCTTGAGGGGAAGGCAGGGATTCTCGAAGGCATGTCTAAGGCCCAACCAGTCTACCTGTAATAAACAGAAAGCATCAGCTCCGACTCCTTTCTTTCCTGGGTGGGCAGGATGATACTTCGACCCTCAAAATCTGCTGTCTCTTCTTCTTCCAGCTGTTTCAAGAGCTCCAGGTCACTGGTAGAGGTGAGCTCATCCCGGATGTGGCTCCAGTCGTATTGCTGGCGCAAGAAGCTCTGCCACTTGTTGGGGGACACCCCAGGCCTCAAAGGACGCTTGTTCTCGATCCATCGGGCAGTGCGCTTGTTCAGCTTTCCCAGCACGATGGCCTCCCAGGCTCTGATCTCCTTCTCATGGGGCGGAAGCCAGGCTTCCCTCTCTTCCAGGTTCACACCTAAAGAAGGCAACAGACTCACCCTGTCTGAGTCCCTGCAGGGATGAATGACAGGGCAAGATGTTTCTGGGTCTGTGCTCGCTGACTTCGCTTTCTTTAGCTTTTTCTTAAGATTGTTAGAGCTTTTTGTTTTCACAGCCTGGGAGGTGACCCTTGCTGAGGGACCTAAAGAATCCAAGGACTTGAAGCTGACAGGCTTCTTAGGTCGGGCCTTCCTGATATGGGGGCGTTGGATGATATGGTCTGTGTTGTAGAGGTGGTCAAAGCTGTACTGGCTGTAAGGAATGCTGGGTAGCCCTCGCTGCCACACCACCTCCTGAGAGAAGGTAAGGTTTGAAGCGGCTTTTTTCAAATATTGGTTCTTGAGGTGTGCACAGTGCTGTGGGCTGAAGTGAAAGACTGGTGGCAGGTTGGAGACAGAGGTGCACTCCTTGTTGGTTGGTTTTACGGAAGAGAAAATCATGCCCCATCCCAACCGTGGGGGCAGTGACTGATGGAGACTGTGTGGGAGAAAGGTCTTCCCCTTTCGGTCCCTAGTCATTGTTCCCTGGCAAATGCTTCCTTCTGCTCTGCCTGGTCCAGAGGCAGGGACTGGGCAAGAGGCCTGTTAAAGGGATGAGAGGAACTGGTGAGAGCTCTAGGTCAGCAGAAATTGGTAACCCATAGCAATACAGGAAGAACAGAACTTGGAGAACAGAAGGGAGGAGGGGGAAAGTCGCTCGAATTAGGAGGACAAAAGAAAGAAAAGCTGCAGCATTCTCAATATTCCTTGTATCTGACCATTGCCTCCAATCTCATACTTGTCCCCAAAACTAAGCCCCTGTCTCCTTATTAGGGATTACTGCTTTTCAGTAGTGTCCCATGCTTCTAGTTTTTCCTCAGATAATTGCTTTCACTCTGTTCAAAGGTTTGTAGCACAAAGTTCAGACAACTCAGCCTGGTACTCGGTATTCTCCATGAGCGTTAATGAACTTTCCCTGACATGTAACCCCATGAGTGTCCTAGCTCTCCTCCAAGTATTTCTCCCTTTACATAGTGGAGCTTCCATCTGTGCCCTGTATATGCAGTAGCCTTTCTTCCACATCTGACACAAACTCTCCCCATTCTTGAAGGCCCAGCTCAGTTTCTGCCTGCTCCACAACTCTTCTTGGACCTATCCAGGCTCCATGTCATACATACATTTATAAGTTACTTCTAGTCCATACCAGTTAGTTTAACTTTTAATCCTGTGACAGCTCACATTGTTAAATATGTTAAGCTTTTCGCTCTCTAACTGCACTGCCCAAGGACCACATCTCCTGTCTTTGCTGTCCTTCAGAATCGCCTGTGCAGCACCACGATGCCCAATGAGATCATTACTCTGTGTCCCGCTGTGCTTGGTGCCTATTCCTGCCTTGCCTGCCCAGCTCACAAGTGCCCCTTAGCCCAGATCTGACTTATCTCTCTTTCCTTGATAACACTCAGCACAGCACCTTCTCTCTTTAGGGTTTGATCTACCCCACTATCTTCTGTGTATTAAATCTCATCCTGAGCCCTGGCTGGCGTAGCTCAGTGGATTGAGCGCAGGCTGCAAACCAAAGTGTCGCAGGTTCGATTCCCAGTCAGGGTACATGCCTCGGTTGCAGGCCATGACCCCCAGCAACCACACATTGATGTTTCTCTCTCTCTCTCTCTCTCTCTCTCTCTATTTCCCTCCCTTTTCACTCTAAAAATAAATAAATACAATAAAAAAAGAAAGTTTTAAAAAATCTCATCCTTTGGTTGACTTCTTTTTGTTAAGGGCCAGCTCTTATCTAGATGTCACTAGACCAGCATGGAAAACCTCACTCAAATTAAGTCCCACATGATCAATATGATACCCCTAGAGGATTTTTTGTGTATAAGACAGGATTTGGTTGTTCTGTCTCTTCACAGTCATGAAGGCAGCATGGCCACAGTGGCACACAGTATTTAAGAAGTTGGACTGGAAAAGTTAGGGTTACAAGGTGATATTTTTCCTGAAACAGTACCTACTTTTACTGGTTGAAAATGAACTGTTGGACGAAAAAAAATATTAGTGTTCTCCTGTCCTGTATATTGCCTAATCAAATATTTTCTAATTCTTATCAGTGTATTATAACTTGCCCCTAAGGCAGGGAGCAGTTTGATCCTAAACCCTTGAAAAACAGGATGGACTGGTTTCACCCCAAGATGACTACCTATATGGAATGATCTGGGGTATCCCCAGAGGTATGCCCATTAGCCTGTGACATAAAGAATCTTTGGTTAGCCCTGGCCAGTGTGGCTCAACTGGTTAGAGTGTGGTCCCATGACTGAAAGGCTTTGGGTTCAATGCCCGGTCAGGGCATATACCTAGGTTGTGTGTTTGATCCCCAGTCCGGGTGTGTACAGGAGGTACCCAGTTAATGTTTCTCTCTCTCCCTTTCTCTCTTTCTAAAAAGCAATGAAAAAAGGTCCTTGGGTGAGAATTAAAAAAAAATCTTTGGTTACAATGCCAACATTCCAGAAAAATATCTGGATTTATAATAATTAATATCATTACTAACTAATTATTATAAATTATCAAGGAATAATTATGATCACCTAATAAAGGACTTGTTGAAAAGGAAGAAAACACATGATAGATATGTTCTGAAAGGGAATGGAGACAGGATAAGATGTTGTCAGGTTTCATCAAAAGAAGCTCGTCCTGGGTGGATTTGGGGTCAGAAGTGCAAGGCCAGGTTCTGCACTTCCCAGCCATGCCAGCTTGGGCGAATGATTCGGGGCATGGACTACTGTCCTCAGAAGGCAGGTCTCCGGGGCCCCACAGTTGGATGCACTGGGCACTTTGGAAACAGTTTAGCAGTATTGAGGCCAAGGCAGTTAGAAGAGAAGGTGCACAGAGAGGGAAGAAAAGGCCTATGAATGGAGTTTGGAGGCTCCATATTCACATTGTCCAAACTTAACTTTTACCTGTACCAACATAGTGAGGCAAGGTCCTCTCTCCTGACAAACAGCCCTTAAGAGCCAAAAGCATAGTGGCAGGTCTCAGGTGCTTTTGTTCACTGACAGCCTAAGACGCTGAATAAGTGGCATCCTACAATTATTCAAACCTGGTGTAACTGCAGACAAGGCCCTGCAGTCTGGTAAGTAGCAATCACCAGCATTCTCTTTGTGCTGGTTAGGAATTTGGGTGGACAAGCAGGTGTTGGGTTGGAAGGGTTAAGCCACATGCCTCCAGTTAAAACCTGATGTAACAATCCACACTCAGGCCTGACTGATGTGGCTGAGAGGATTGAGTGCCAGCCTGCAAACCAAAAGGTTACTGGTTAGATTCCCAGTCAGGGCACATGCCTGGGTTGTGGGCCAGGTCCCCAGTTGGGACCATGTGTGTGAGTGGCAACCATGTATCTCTCACACATTGATGTTTATCTCCCCCTCTCTCTAAAAAAGTAAATAAATAAAATCTAAAAAAAAAAAAAAGTCCAGACTGAAAATTGTGGTATCTCAGAAGTTCCAAATTTAATTCCATTCTCTATTCATCTTCCCAGTTCCCTACCCTCACCCCCTGGGTCTGATACTATTATTCCATAGAAATAGTTGAAGTGGGCTGAATAATGTGTGCCAGAAAAGTTATACCTTGCTTTTTCCATTCTTTTATGGAAAAATCTGAGTTTTCCAAACTCTCAGATATTTCACGAAGAAACTTTTTTACTGACTTGTCCCCTAGAGCAAGGGACATAAAGGAAAGAATAAACAAATGGGACCTCATCAAAATAAAAAGTTTCTGCACAGCTAAAGAAAACAGTATCAAAATAAAAGGGAACCAACTGTATGGGAAAACATATTTGCCAATGATACCTCAGACAAGGGTTTAATCTCCAAAATATATAAAGAACTTACAAGGCTGCACTCTAAGAAGACAAGGAACCCAATTAAAAAAATGGGCAAAGGACTTGAACAGACACTTCTCCAAGGAGGACATATAGAAAATCCAAAGACACATGAAACAATGTTCAATATCGCTAGCTATCAGAGAGATGCAAATTAAAACCACAATGAGATACCACTTCACACCAGTCAGAATGGCCATCATAAACAAAGCACCAAACAACAAGTGTTGGAGAGGTTGTGGAGAACAGGGGACCCTAGTGCACTGTTGGTGGGACTACAGACTGGTACAACCACTATGGAAAGCAGTATGGAACCTCCTCAGAAAACTGAAAATAGATCTGCCTTTCGAGACCCAGCAATTCCACTGCTGGGACTATATCCTAAGAACACTAAAACACCAATCCAAAAGAACCTATGCACTCCAATGTTCATAGCAGCACAATTTACAATAGCTAGGTGCTGGAAGCAACCTAGATGCCCATCAGTAAATGAATGGATCAAAACACTATGGTACACTTACACAATGGAATTCTATGCAGCAGAAAGAAAGAAGGAGCTCCTACCCTTTGCAACAGCTTGGATGGAGCTGGAAAGCATTATGCTAAGCAAAACAAGCCAGGCAGTGAAAGACAAATACCACACGATCTCACCTTTAACAGGAATCTAAATAACAAAACAAAGAAACAAGCAAAATATAACCAAAGACACTGAAATAGGGGACAGACTGACAGTGACCAGAATGGAGAGAAGAGGGAATTTCAGGGGAGAATGGGAAGGGTTTACAGGAACAAATTTAAAGGACACATGGACAAAAACTAGGGGGAGGGTGGTAATGGGAGGGAAGTGGGGAGGGTTGGGTGGGTGGGCTGGATTGGGAGTAAAAGGGAGAAAACTGTACTTGAACAATGATTAAAATTAAAAAAAATTTAAAAAAGAGTAGAAACTGCCCTGGTTGGTGTAGCTCAGTGGATTGAGCGTGGGCTGTGAATCAAAAAATCGCTGGTTCGATTCCCAGTCAGGGCACACTCCTGAATTGTGGGTTAGGTCCCCAGTGGGGGCCACATAAAAGGCAACCACACATTGATGTTTCTCTCCCTCTCTTTCTCCCTCCCTTCCCCTCTCCCTAAAAATAAATAAATAACTTTTTTTCAAAGAGTAGAAACTGCCACAGGAGAAAAGGCTAAAAGCAATAAACCTTGGCACAGTTCACTCTCTGAGAGTGTTAGATATTGTTAAAGGACCCTGTGCATCAAGATCACCTGGGAAGCTTGTTAAAATGAATGTTTCAGCCCTGGCCAGCTAGCTCAGTTGGTTAGAGTGGTGTCCCGATGAACCAAGGTTGCAGATTCTATCCCTGATCAGGTCACATACAGGAATCAACCAATGAATGAAAAAATAAGTGAAACAACAAATTGATGTCTCTTTCTCTCCACCCCCACCACCTCCGACTTTCCCTCTCTCTCTAAAAATCAATCAATAATTTAATGAATATTTTATTAAGTAGGCTGCAAGTAAGGCCTAAAACACTGCTTTTTTAACCAGCTTTCAGAGATTTTTATACACATTAAAGAAACCACAGCCCCATGAGGTATTTGTGGAAATAGCAAAGAAGCTTGGTTGGTGGGAGGAGGACTGGGGACCACAGCTTCTTAACCTGACTTGTTTCAAATCCCCTCTCTCTGCTGCTGTTTCCCATCAGAAAGTTTCCTTCATTTTTCTCCCTCTACTTTCTAGTTCCCTTTCCTTGCCATGCACTCACACAGATAGATACACTGCTGTCTCCTGAAAACTCTACCACAAAGATGATCTGTTCCTACTCTTTTATTTACAAGTTTCAAATCTGAGGCCCAGAGAGAAGGGACATGACTCAGATCACAGTACAGGTTAGCACTTGAAGCAATACTGACCATTTGACACCTCATTCAAAAATTTTCATCCATATTTCAGACTGCCTTTCATCATTCAGCTGAGCTAATAAGCTGATGTCAGACATGGGTAAGGCAGCAATGTTTTGAAATTACCTTCAGAATGGCCTCCCACAACACAGTCTTCAAAGGGAAGCAAGTTTCTACATCTTGGACCTTCCTTAGTTTCCTATGTTCCAAAACTATTTACATTGGTTACTAGGCAACCTCCTCTTTAGAATTCCATGAGTCTATTCACAGAACCTGGGAGTTCAGTCAGGGGTATTTTCAATTATTTCTTAACTTATTTGTGAGTTAAATAAGATTTGGGAAATGGCATTATATTTATTGATTGGTGGCAAAATGGACTTCACGGTCATCCTTTGAAAAATAAACCTCTAGGTCTATGTGGCTTAACATTTTCCCCCCACAGGGGTCCATAAGACCTACAGAGTCTTGACACAGCAGGAAACATGTGAACACCCAGCTCTGGCATGCTTCAGATATCCAGGCTGATAGAACAAATGGTTAAGTCTTTGCCCCGCTTTTTTTAATCCTCACCCAAAGATATATATTTATTGATTTTAGAGAGAGAAAGAGAGAAACATTGATCAGTTGCCTCCCATACATGCTCTGACTGGGGAATGAACTGCAATCTAGGTATGTACCCTGACCAGGAATTGAACCCACAACGTTTTGGTATATGGGATGATGCTCCAACCAGCTGAGCCACCCAGCCAGGGCACTGGGACCTTTTCCATTCTCCTCTCATCTGTGCCCCTACTCAATCTACTTCCTTCACACTGTTCAATTCCATCTTCCCTGCTCCCCAGATCCTGGCTAGATTATCAGCAAATATTACTCTTTTTACAAGGAAACTCTTCAAATCTTGTCTTTTTAATAGTAAAATTCTAGACTTACAGTTTACTGGTCTTGAGAAGTCCCCTTGTGAAAATAACTATTTGTCCTGACAGCAGGGAAGATTTCTGAGTGTAAGGTTTGTTCTTTTCTTCCTCCTCCTCCTCCTCCTCCTTCTCCCCCTCCCCCCTTCCTTCTGCTCCTCCTCCTTCTTCTTCAAAAGTTTTTATTGTCAGTAATAGCTGTAAAATTTATATGAGAATCTTTTTTGTATTTTATTAAATTTATTGGGGTGGCGGTTAATAAGTTTCAAGTGTACAATGCTATAATACATCATCTATATACTGCATTGGGTACTCACCACCCAAAGTGAAGTCTCTTTCCATCACCATACATTTGACTCCTTTACCTCCTTCAACCTATAGGTTCTGTCTTTCTAGTTGACCTAGGGCCATGCTATCCAGGCCACTCGTGCTGATCAGCCTGACCACTGACTTTAGTACTTGGTTTTAAGCTGTGCTCAGACCCTGGGACCCTCACAAAAGGGTAAAAGAGTTTGTTCTCTGAGATGAAAACACTAAAACACTTTTTAAAAAATTCAATATTAAAACCTTGGCTAAGGTTCCTCAAAAAGATTACACAGAATTACCATGTGATCCAGCAATTGCACTTCTGGGTACACACTGAGAAGAATTAAAAGCAGGGCTCATAATATCTGTGTGCCCATGTTCAATAGCAGCATATTCACAATAGTCAGAAGGCATCCACTGATAGATGAGTGGGAAAAAATTTATCTATATATTACTCAGACTTGAAGTGAAATTCTTATACCTGCTACATACATAGATGAACCTGGAAGTTACGCTAAGCGCAGTAAGCCAGACACAAAAGGACACATAGTGTATGATTCCACTTATACAAGGCACCTAGAAGAGTTAAGTTTATAGAGACAGAGACTGGATTCACAGGGGCCGGGGCGCGGGGAGGGAAGGAGGAATGGGGAGGGAGTTACTGTTTAATGCGTCCAGAGTTTGGGTGATGAAACAGTTTGGGAGGTGGACGGTGGTGATGGTTGCACCGCCATGTGAGTGCACTTAATTAACTATACTTTTAAAAATGGTGAATTTGGTGGGCTACCACAATTTTAAAAACCTTTTTAATTATAATAGCCATGTGGGGCTTTTTTCCTGATAGAAATACTAGAGACTTTAAAATTCCCACTACCTGCTATACGTGCATTCAACTATTGGTCCACTGACAGAATGATGACATTCCTGAATCAGTATTGGTGGGGAAAAATTAATAAGGCCGCAGAAAAATTGTCTATCTCGCTTGCCCATAATACTACCCAGGGAAGCCTGTTTGCTCTGCACCTGGACATTTTAGATTGCCTAATGGACCATTTGAAGATTGACAAATGGATTTCACACAGCTTCCCAGTATTGTTGAAAAAAATACATTTTAGTGATGGTGTATACGTTTTCTCACTGGATGGAAGCTTTCCCTTGTAGTCAGGCTACTGCCTCTTCTGTGGAGGAAGTGCTTTTGGAAAAGTTTATCCCCACCTGGGGACCTGTTCTTGAATTCCATGGCAATCAGGGAACACATTTTAGTCATCAGGTGCTTGGACAAATCGGTGCCTCAGTCCTAGGTTTAGTTGGATGCAAGAAGGGCATTATCAAAACTCAACTGGCAAAATGTGTAGAGACCCTCCAATTACCTACCCCAAAGCATTGCCCACGGTCCTTCTAAATCTCAGGTTTACCCCCTTTGGAACTCAAACTCTCACCCTTTGAGACAGTCACAGCATACCCAGTGCACCTGGTCACTGCCTATCTTGACCCACAGCAAATGAAAGGAAATATTCTTTAATATTGTAAAGGCCTCAGTGCTTCTATCAAAATTAACCGTGTTCTGGTGGAGCATTCTTCCCAGTGCACGCCAGGGGGACAGGGACTGGAAGCGGCATGCTCTGCCCCTCTCAGGTCCATAGAGGAGAGTTTCTCTCATTTGTTTCTCTGGACTGGCAGTGGTTTACTTTTTGACTGCATGTCCCAAGTTGCAGGTTTTTCTTGTTCCTGAATAAAGCCGCTTTGCTGGGGAAGTATCTGGCTCTCTATTTTGTCAAATGGAGTCATTTATGTTAAGGAGCTTTAAAATGGAGCCAAGAGGCCATTAAGGATATGGGTCTTATGTACGTTCTTAAGGGACGAAAATGAACTTTTGAACAGGGCGAAACTACATTCTAGGATGCTGCAAAAACACCTACAACTTCTCACAGAGATGGACTTCTTACTTAGGGATAGCTTCAGCAATCATTTATGTTTGACCCAGGTTACCTTTCTGTCCCCAGCACCAATCCAAATTCTTTATGAATGACAGGCAGATCTCCCCTTGGGCCTTTGAAAAAAACCCTGACTTTTGTCTCTGTCAGATACTTGCGATTGCTACCTGAATCAGTGTGCCCAAATTTGCGACTCCTTTAAATCCCAAATAAATAAATGGTTTTCTGTATGGTTCCTGACAATTTAGGTTAACAATATATTGGAGGTCAACAGGGGCCGTAAAGTTTCTTCAATTTCTCTAATGAAAAGGGTAGCCCTGGCTGGTGTAGCTCAGTGGATTGAACGCGGGCTGCTAACCAGTGTCGCCGGTTCAATTCCCAGTCAGGGCACATGCCTGGGTTGCAGGACAGGTCCCCAGTGGGAGCCATGTGAGAGGCAACCACACATTGATGTTTCCCTCCCTCTCTCCCTCCCTCCCTTCCCCTTTCTCTAAAAATAAATAAATAAATAAAACCTCAAAAGAAAAAATTTGAAATTTTGAATATAAAATCAAGTATAAGGTCTTGAAAGAGGGTTGAACTGAAGTTTGATGGAAAAAATCCACCACAGGGTAAAACCCATAATTTATGAAAAAGCAAGAAAAGGTGAAAAGTCCAGGATGAAAAGGAGATACTGTTTGCCTAAATGAAACATGAGAGTCCAGTGTATAACAAAATAATAGCTATTATCTCATTTGTCTGTTGTTACCCCTAAAGGGATGATAAAACTGAGGTCACACAGATATACAAGGCCCCTTAGATGTGGCATGGTGTAGAGGCACATACACAAATAATACAAATGAAATACCATGGTGAAAGTTTTCAAAGACCTATCTTATTATCACCAAAGTGGTTAAACTCCATTTGTCCTGCACTGCTTGGTGATTACGTGTGGAGACTGGAGACTGCCATGTGCCAGTGGCAGCCCAGGCCCAGCTCATTGCACAGGCTCAAGAGCTTTTAAGAGGCAGAACTGGGACATTTTCTCTCCAATTCAGTGGGAGTTTTTCAGCGACGAGGCTTTGTGCAGTTCATGTGTGTCTGCTCCCTTTTGCTGCTGAGTGGCAGGACTGGCCCTCCAAGCTCAGTTTAGCGGGCTGCTCCGCCCCGTTGGGCTCTTAGGCTGCAGCTGGGCAGCCTGCCGTTAGAGGCTCCCGCACCAGTCCTAACTCCCTCCACAGCCCCGTGCAGTTGATCCGAATTCTGAAATCAAGTCGCTAAATGATGGCCACAGCTCCCGCTGTCCTGCGAGCGTCCGGGCTCTGCCAACGGGGCTCGAGGAGCTGGGCGCTGCTGCCAAGTTCTCCGAAGGTGAGGCCTGGTAGCCCGGTCTCTCCGGCCTCTGCTCGCAGGGTGGCGACGGTGTCCCTGGAGCCTGCGAGCCGCTCCTGCTGGGACAGGCCGGTGAGCATCATCGTGAGGGGCCTGGCACCGGAGCAGCGGGTCATGCTGCGCTCGTCCCTGCGCCGTGACGAGAAGGGCGAGCTGTTCCGGGCCCACGCGCGCTACAGCGCCGATGCTGGCGGCGAGCTGGACCTGATGCGCGTGCCAGCCCTGGGCGGCAGCTTTGCGGGGCTTGAGCCCATGGGGCTCTTCTGGGCTTTGAAGCCCGAGAAGCCCCTCCTTCGGCTGGCGAAGCGGGACGTGCAGACACCCTTCATCGTGGAGCTGGAGGTGCTCGACGGCCACCAGCCCGAGGAAGGACGTCTCCTGGGCCGGGCGGTGCACCAGCGAGACTTCCTTGCGCCTGGGGTGAGGGGGGTACCGGTGCTCGCGGGCGGGGTGCGCGCCACTCTCTTCCTGCCGCCAGGTGAGCGTAACCCAGTTGCAGTTTCTTTCCGCTTTTTTCCTAACCTCCTCCGCTTCGCGAGGATGGAGGTAGCTCCAAAAGTTCCGGAATGTCAGAGGGGCCTTGAAGTATCAAGGAGACAGGAATGGAATGTAAGTAAGCCCAGCTGGCAAGATGGCTCTGCCACTCCAAAAGTGAGAGGTCAGTTAAAAGCTATCCTTAAAGAAAGGGAGAATGTTATGGGGAGGACCGAGTAGAGGAGACCTCCCCTCCTCGGTGCTGGTCTGGCTCGCAGGAGATGAATTCAGGTGAGATACAACACATATAGTAGAAATGAGATAGCAAGTTTATTTATGAAATACACAAGCTAGAAGCTGCCAGCAGGCCCCCCACAAGTCTGAGTGCCCCGGCAGTAGTGGTTTTAGGGGTTTTATGCTCCTCGCCGGCTTCTAGGTTCTCCCTTCTCGTCCCTCTCCAGACCTTGGGATTAATATACAGTTTCAAAGGCTTTCTTTCCCGGTAGTGAAAACGACTCACAGAGAATTTCAAGGGCTCCCCTGGTCCTGTGCTATCATGGTTTTTCCTGTGGCTTTTCAGAACATCTGACCATGCTCAGGACTGTTGGATTAATGAGTGAGACGTGTCTCCTTCCCCTCTCTGCCTTGGTTTGCCATCTATCCCGACTAACAAGACAGTTGTAATGAAAAAAAAACTATTTATAAGAGGATTCAAGTTTTTAATTTCTTAAAAGGTTTCTCAATTTTATAACTTTGTTTATAACTCCCATAGTATTTTAAGGTTTAAGAAAATTAGAATGAAGGAGGAAGTTAATAGTTCTTGCTATTAACTAGAAATCTTCTGAAATTATTGGATAATATTTCCATTACATCAAAAGCAATTGGCCAAGGAAAATATAAAGATGCTTATCCTAACAGGGATCAAAGAAATGCAAAATAAAACTACACATTTCACACACTCAAAATTTGCTAAAATTTAGAAGTCTAATATTACCAATTGTTGTTAACAAGTATGTAGAAGAAAAGGAATTCACACTGCTAAAAGGAATATATTTATTTATCTATTCCTGGAAACAACCTTTTACTTATAAAGTTGATAATATCATTCTAACTTTTTTGATGGACATTTGGGCTGTTAGTAAGAAACAGCCCAAATGTCCATCAATAGGAGAAGTGATAAATAAATCGAGGTATATTTACAGCAGCAAGTGTAAATGAACTGCAGGCACAAGAACCAACATGCATGAATCTCAAAAACGGTGTTGAGTAAACAGTCAAGTCCCAGAGGAACACATTCAGTTCCATTCCACTTACATAAAATTCTTAAAAAGGCACAACTAAACAAAACAGTGTTTAAAGTACACATATAAATGGTGATATGGTAAAGAAAATCCAGTGAATGAAGGCCAGGACAATGGAAAGGGAGGTAAGGAGCGCAGATACTCAGGAGCCTTCAGTGGATGGTACTGTTATTTTTTTAAAATGTTGGAGATAAGCCCTGGCTGGCGTAGCTCAGTGGATTGAGCGCAGGCTGCAAACCAAAGTGTTGCAGGTTCGATTCCCAGCCAGGGTACATGCCTGGGTTGCAGGCCATAACCCCCAGCAACCGTACATCGATGTTTCTCTCTCTCTCTCTCTATCTCCCTCCCTTCCCTCTCTAAAAATAAATAAATAAGGTCTTTAAAAAAACTGTTAAAAAATGTTGGAGATAAAGTGTTTGCTTTATTATTCTTTAAATTGTGCATATTAAATACAAACTTTTTATATAAGTGGTGAAAACATCCAATAAATGGAGTCATACAAAGTAGGTAGCCTTTTGTCTAGCGTAATGCACTTGAGACTCATTTGAGTTGCTCCATGCGCTGGCAGTTCCTTCGTGTTTCGCTGCAGCGCCCCATCGTGTGGATGCACTGCAGGCTATATACTCACTCACCACTTCAAAGACGTCTGGGTTTCAAGTCACTGAAGACTATGAATAAAGTCACTGTAAACAGTTGTGTACAAGTTTTTATGAGAATACAAGTTTTCGTTTTTCTTGGGTAAATATACCTAGGAGTGAGATTGCTGGATCATATGGTAAATATATGTGTTTAACTTTATGCAAAATTGCCCAGCTGTTTTCTGGAGTGGCCGTATCATTTTGCATTTCCACCAGCAATGTATGAGGGTTCCACCAGCAATGTAGTGAGGGTTTCACTCTCACTGGCATTTGGCATTGTCAACTGGGGGGAGAGGGCAATGATTTTGCTATTTTCATTGTAAAGTATTATTATTATATTTTAAATGGATGGGTTTATTGTGTGTTTTTTTAAGATTCTATTTCTTTATTTTTAGAGAGGGAAGGGAGGGAGATAGAGAGACAGAGAGAAACATCAATGTGCTGTTGCTGGGGGTCATGGCCTGCAACCCAGGCATGTACCCTGACTGGGAATCGAACCTGCAACACTTTGGTTCGCAGCCTGCACTCAATCCACTGAGCTATGCCAGCCAGTGCGTTAATTATTTTTAAAGACCAGAGGCATTTCAGTATTTCTGATTGTCAATATAAAACTTTGACATTACCAAATAGGCAGCAAATGGCTTTTGACATCGCTGCAAAGAGTTTTAAGAATAATTTAGTTTTGTGTTTTGTTTCTTCCAAAGAACCCAGGCCCTTTCCTGGGATTGTGGACATTTTTGGAGCTGGAGGTGGCCTTCTGGAAAATCGAGCTAGTATGCTGGCTGGGAAGGGTTTTGCCGTGATGCTTCTGGCTTATTATAATCATGAAGACCTCCCAAAAGACTTGGAGAACTTCCATCTGGAGTACTTTGAAGAAGCTGTGAACTACCCGCTTAGTCACCCTCAGGCTGGAATTTCTCAGTTTTGTGGTCTACATATTAGGCCTTCTCTTCATAAATGCTCTTGGTTTTCAGGAACTATGCCCTGGCTGATATGTCTCAGTGAATTGAGTGCCCACCTGCAAGCCAAAGGTTTGCCGGTTTGATCCCCAGTCAGGGCACATGTCTGGGTTGTGGGCCAGGTCCCCAGTAGGGGGCACACAAGAAGCAACCACACATTGATATTTCTCTCCCTCTCTTTCTTCCTCCCTTCCCCTCTCTCTAAAAATAAAATCTTTAAAAAAAAATCAACAAGAACTAGACAAATTCATGACAGCCACTCCCTACCTCCAACACACTACCTTTTATAGTCACTTCTCATAGGCAATTTCTATGCAATTATGTATTACTGTGATAAATTTCCTGCAAGTAAATTAGTTCTTAGTTGACATTATGGAATTTTAAATTTTAATATTTTATGGTATTTCATAATGAGCCCCAACACATCTGGGAAGCCTGGGTTTCACAGGAAGTACAAAGAAAGGGGGAAGGAATCATTGCCTCCAGGCAGCCTCAATTTAATGTTTGTGTTTAGCAACCCTCCCTTCTCTTCTATGTGTTCCTTCTGAGAGCACAGTATTAAGTTTTATAGGTTCTTTGATGGTCAAGAAACCTGGGTACCAAGAAATGTTTGGAAGCTTCTAGGCTCAGGATATCAGAGGATCAGAAGATTATTTTACAATATGGAAGCACAGGAGCTCTTACAAAAAGGGATAGGGTATAGTGGGATTAGAATGAGATGTGGAAGTAAGTACAAGACGGTTATGGCCCGTTACATTAAGGGTAGCCCGGGAGAACAACTGGGTTGGTTCAGGACACAGATTAATGTGGGCCATGCCGCCTATCAAGTCAGAGGGAAACGATGACGCAGGTTTCTGAACAAGGAACTGTAAAAAACACACAATCCTCCTGTTAATTTAACTCAAGTCTAACTACTGTTTGCCATTCTTTCCTTTTTTCCTTTCGGTTTTCTTCCTCCCTTCAATTTTACTCATTTTTTCAAAACATGGAGGAGGGACTGAAAGAGGATGGAAACTCAATCAATCTACTTGGCTATTTTTTAGTAATTGTATCAGGAGTCTTCCCATTTCAAGCAACAGAAAACTCAACCTAAACTGTTAAAGCAGAAGGAGAACTTACTGTCTCATGACTGAAAAGTCACGTGGCATGGGCTAGGCTCAGGCACAAGTGTGTTCAGGAGACCAGATGACATCATCAACATCTGGACTCTCTGCCTCACCAAGTTCTACTGATGTTTTGCTATTTTGGCTGCAATTTTTAAAAAAAAGCGGATAGAGAAAGGTTAAATTTGAGTTTTAATTTTATTTATTTTAGCCTCACCCAAGGATATTTTTAAATTGCCTTTAGAGGGAGAGGAAGGGTGGGGAGAGAGAGAGAGAAATAAAGATTGATGTGAGAGAGAAACACTGATCAGCTGCCTTCTCGTACACACCCCACCCAGGGATTGAACCCACAACCTATGTGTATGCCCTGACTGGGAATCAAACCCACAACCTTTCCATCTATGGGATGCCACTCCAATCAACTGAGCCACACCAGCCAGAGCTAAATTTGAGTTTTGATTTCACCAAATACTAGCTGTAAGGCTAGCTTCTGTTTCCTTCTTTGAAAAATTAGGATAATAATATCATTTCATTTCTAGTACTTTAATGAAGAGTAAACATCTTAAACCAGTCTAGGGTGCCATTGTAGAGGCTACACGAAGAAAAAAAGGACTGCTGTCGAGAGGTCAAATGGCCATTTACAATCCAGGATGTTGGCAACTGTGACAGATCAGTCCTTGTAGAACAGTGTAAACCCAAATGAACCTGGAGGGGACTGAGTAGAGAATGGAAGACAAGAAAGAGGAGAGCAACTACAAACAGCTTCTCCCCCAAAGTTTGCTGTGAAAGAGTAAAAAACTATGGCAGAGTGGATGTGGGGTCAAGGAATTGTAATTAAAATGTAAGAGGTACTAGAGCATGAAGTACACTTACAGGAATGAGCCAGGCGAGAACGCTATGGCGGAGGAGCAGTAGCTGTAGGAACAAGATCTATCAGAATGAGAGTGGGTGGGATCCCAAGCCAAGCAGAGGGGTGGCCTTTGATAAGAACGGAGATACTTCTTTGGAAAGCGGGAGGGAAGGCAGAGAACTTGAGCTCATTTCCAACTAGTAGATTTGGCAGGGGAAAATGAGGAAGCGTTCCTACTGGCTAGCTTCTATTTTCCCCATGAAGTGTGGAGAGGTGAAAGTGAAGGGAAATACAGAGGGGTTCAAGAGGCTTGAGAACATGAGAATGCGTGAAATTGTCTTTTTGGAGACGTGAAAAGCAAACAGTGAAGTGTGGCAGGACTCATGGGCAGTATGGATGCATGTTTGAAATCTGTGGTCATCAAATGAAAGATCTGTCAGCACAAATGTGTTTTTTCCCCAGCAATGTTCATGTACACAAATACAGGCCTACAGAAAGGGAACAGATGCATTTAACCAAGGTTATCACTTTTCCAGGCAAGTATGACCAAAGGAAAGGAGGTATTAGCTAAGAGCGCTTGAAAGGGAGGGATAATAACAACGAAGCTAAAATCTAAGCTGGATGAGGTGGGAAGTGAACACGAGAGAGACACTGACAGCAAAAAAACGTGGTAGGTGGAAACAGGTGGCACGAAAATGGCCAGACTGGAAGTATTGAAGATGGTGATTAGAAAGTAGAATGCTGGCAGCTGAGATTTTAAAGCTGAGGTACTTACTGATGATGGCTTGGTTTAGGTTCTGGCAGTGGGAGTGGGTGGCTCGGGTGGGGTAGAGAAAAATATCATTGGAGGTATGGAGGTCAAGGAACTGAGAGGCCAAAGTATTCAGTAGATCATCCACATGGTTGCTGAAGTCACAACAAAGGTGATGGAGAAATTGTGGGAAGGAAGAGTAAGTAGGTATCCCACGGGTGCAGACCGTGGTAGAGGGTGGAGTCCAGATGCAGGCTCAGCTCCAACTGCCTTCCAGTTCTAGGCGCTACAGTAGGCTGGTTCACAGACTCATTCTTTTCCCTCTGTCCTTATGTCAGGTAAAGGGTCCAGGAGTCGGGCTGCTTGGGATTTCCAAAGGAGGTGATCTCTGCCTCTCCATGGCCTCGTTCCTGAAGGGCATCACTGCCGCCATCATAATCAATGGCTCAGGGATCAATGTTGTAGGAGACTTACACTACAAAGGCAAGACCCTGCCCGCTGTGGGCGTGCACTTAAATCGAATCAAGGTGACCAAAGACGGCCTTGCAGACATTTTGGATATCCTGAACAACCCTTTGGAAGAATCTGACCAGAAGAGCCTCATTCCTATGGAAAGGGCTGAGAGTGCCTTCCTGTTCCTTGTAGGTCAGGATGACCACAACCGGAGGAGTGAATTTTATGCTAATGAGGCCTCTAAACGCCTGCAGGCCCATGGCAGGAAGAAGCCCCAGATCACCTGTTACCCTGCGGCGGGACACTTCATTGAGCCTCCTTACTTTTCCCTTGTGCCGGGCTTCCCTGCACACCTTGGTGGGCAGACCTGTCATCTGGGGAGGGGAGCTGAGGGCACATGCCATGGCCCAGGTGGATGCTTGGAAGCAGCTCCAGATTTTCTTCCACAAACACCTGGGTGGGGAAAAGGGGATAATCCCACCAAAACTGTAATCTTTTACTTGATTGTGTGGCATCTCTGGTGCTAATTAATCTTGGGAACATCTGTTACAATTAGTGTGCATGTGTAGTTTCTTTTAAAGATTTTATTTACTTATTTTTAGAGAAGGGAACGGAGGAAGAAAGCAAGGAAAAGAAACATCAATGTGAGAGAGAAATACCCACCTGTAGCCTTTCATACACGCCCCAACCAGGGACCAAATCCGCAACCCAGGTATGTGCTCTGACCAGGAATCAAACCAGCGACCTTTCGCTTTGTGGGACAATGCCCAACTAACTGAGCCACACTAGTTAGGACTGTAGTTTTTTTCTTTTTAATAATTACTTAAGAGTTTTTCCCTTCTCACTGTTAAAATGAACTTAACAATGAGTTTCCAAGATTTTTATAAACTATTTCCCTTCCAGTTATTTGGGAGGAAAGGGATTCTGCAGAAAATACAATAGATGGGGAGCATTTGAGATCTTGCTCCTAGGCATATGCCCTCATTTTGGCTCAGATAAACTTTTGCCAATTTTGTATTAAGTTATTGGGGTGACATCGGTTAATAGGATCATATAGGTTTCAAGTGTACATTGCTACGATACAAGATCTGTATATTGCATTGTGTGCCCACCACCCAAAGTCAGACCAACTTTCGTTGCCATATATGAAGCCCCTTCCACTGCTCACCACCACCCTAAATAAACTCTTATAAAAAATTAACAACAATGGGGGGCGGGTCAGGGGAAACCAATGGAGGAAAATTGGGACAACTGTAATAGAACAACAATAAAAAAAATTAATGACAACAAACAACACAACAGGTACAAAAGGCATACTTTTTAGTCTCTCACAAAACACAAGGCTTTAGCTCTGAAAGGAAAAGTGAGTAACACTGGTTAACAGTAACTTGTACATAACGGTGCTCAGCAATTATTTATTTGATTATTTACCATGGTTGAACTTGGTTAATAATTAACTTGATTTAATAAATGATTACCATAGAAGAAAAGCATATAATATAAAAAAATATTATGAGATTTGAGTTTTTCCTTCAAGAATGGAAGCAAACATCTTAGCTGTAAATTACTAGTTAGATTATTACTTGATGTGAAACTACTGAAAGTTTTCATAGCAAACATATTTTCAGTTCCTCAATGTCTTCTCCTTGGATAAATAAGTATTTTCCTAGTGCAAATACATTACAAATTACATTTCTATTTTTTGATTTAGTTGATCAAAAATATCAACTTTATGATTTAGTTGTTTTGAAAGCTGGCAAAATATTATTTAGATGAATTACATAAGTGATTATTAAAATAAATGATGAGTAAATGAATAAATGAATATTTATATCACTTGATATAAATAGTACCATAATAGGCTTAAGGAAACTTTTCTTAAAGCTTAAGGCATTTTTTACTTTAAATAAATTAATTTACGGTTATGGTGTTATTTCCTCAATTATCTTTTAAATAAAGCAATTCTTGACATTCCCCCCCGTAAATAATACAGTGCTTTTTGTTTTGTCAGCTTGTTCTTGTACGCTACTGCGTGCTTGTCACTTAATCCTCGCCAATCTGTGTAATGGAGGTGTCATCTTCATTTTACCCATGAGGAAACCAAGTCTCAGAGAAGTTCTTCATGAAGTAAACGTAGAGCTGGGGCTCAGTTTACCCAAATCCCCTTTCTTCTCTTTGTTAAGCTGCTTCCCTTGTCTCTGGGGTCCTTCACTGTATTTGGGCCCAGAGCCATGTGTCCATCAATTTCTGCCTCTTCTCATCCACCCAGCAGGATGCACGTTTGCGTACGTTCGTTCACATTCGCGCACACGGTGTCGTGGTCTTCAGGTGTATCACCACGAATTCCAGTACAGCCCATCCATGCTCTTTGCAGGATAGCCAACTGGGAACTGTGGAGAATATGGCAGAGTTGAACCAGCTCATTGGAGTTTTAAGGACTTGTAAACTGTCAAACCAGTATAATTTCTTAAGTTTTTCATAGAAAACTTTTCATTTTCTACTTACATGTTGAAGTCCACCAGTGTCTAATACTTTGTTTTTATTTTTTTCTCTTACTTCTATGGTGATATTAACACAGATAATGAGTTTACTTCATTTGCTGACTAACAGAAAAGAAATGAGACAATTCCCTGCCTGGAGTAGAAAAATACGTGATTTTTTCTCTGACTCACAGTCAGCCAACCCTCACTCTGGGGGCTTCTCTTCTCTGCATCAGTTAGTTGTTCAGAGTGCCAAGACAAACTGCTGACTGAGCTAACTGTTGAGGATATTGTATCCTTCATACTTGTTGAGACATTAATCAGAAATAGGTTCTAGGAATATGACACAGACTTCTTCCTCACCATTTTGACAGCATCCATTTGTGCTCTATTTCAATTCTTGTTACTATTTCAACATTACCAAACTTTTGCTAGGCAGAAATTTTACCTCTGTCCTCTTAGGGATTTCCGGTTGGGCTGGAGAATTAAATTGACATAAAACAGATGAACAAGAACAAAGCAGGGGTGGGATAGAGGGTGGGAGGTAGGGATGGTTGGAGTGGGGGGAATGGTGTGTGTGTGGGGGAAATGGAGACAACTGTATTTGAACAACAATGAAAAAAAACCCCTAAAAATACTAATTTTATTTTACATGGACAGAAAGTCTCCACAAGAAAATGAAGAAGTGGCAAAACCTAAGTACTTATATACTAGATTGATCAGAGTGGCAACTGTGGAAAAGTAAAATATATGAGGGAGACTAAAGGAAGAGAAATTATTTTAACAAGATCTTGTGCAGGATCCTTCAGCATTGACTCCTATTTCTGGTGATAAGACTCTTTCTTCTTCCTGATACAGGGAAGACAGCTCTCACGTTAGAGTTTCACCCTGGGGGAAAAAAAAAGAGGACGGGGGCCCTTCTTTCACCTGCTGTTTTTCAAGCGACTTTACCTCAAAATAATCAATATGCCAAAATGACATATTTGGGGTAGCATTCCCGGAGCCCCTTCACCTGCCCTGTTTCCACAGTGTCTCTCATCTCCACTTGATTTTGGGACCTGAAGATAAACTGAGGGAGAATTTTCATCTTGCTACTATATGCTTAATTTCTTCTCGTTTCCTAAAATGTATTTTCTAATGTCAAATCCCTTGTTCAAATCTAAATAACAAGTCTTCTTAAAGTCAATTTCCAACTTCCTTTTTTCCAGTAATAGTCATAACTCCTGCTGATCCCGTATTTCCTTTCTCTGAATTTAAAAATTTTCTTTTCTTGTCCTGGCTGGTGTGGCTCAGTAGATTGAGTGCCAGCCAGTGAACCAGAAGGCCAGCAGTTCTATTCCCAATCAGGGCACATGCCTGGGTTTCAGGGCCAGGTCCCCAGTAGGGGGCGCCCAAGAGGCAACCACACATTTACCTTTCCCTCCCCTCCTTCCCCTCCCTCCCTTTCCCTCTCTCTAAAAATAAATAAAATCTTTTAATACTTTTTCTTTTGTTGCTCTCACTTCTAAAAAACCATCAATATCATAATGGGTCTCCTCCACTGCTCTAGGGATACTTCCAAGTGCTTCCTCAGCATACATGACTGGTGTCCCTTTTTATAAGTCCTGATTTTCATTCAGGTATTGCCCTGTGGCCTTCAGGGAAAGCTAACTGCACTCTGACGCAAGGACAATGAAGGTGATCTGTGTTTGGTTTAAGCCAATCTCAACATTCCACCCAGGGGAAAGTATGTGATTTCAGTCGCATGGAATTCTCTCTCGCCCACCAAACATGAACAAAGAAGCAGTAAGCCCCATTACTCTGACAGCCACCTTCGCATACCACGAATGGCAGAGCTGGCAGAAAGAAACAGTTCTTGGTGTCACCACTGAGCGAAAGCAGAAAGGCAAAACACACCGAAGGGTTCATTCCCATAAAATGCACTAAACACACACACACACACACACACACACACACACACCCAGAAAAAACCCGAACCCGTTTTGTTGGAACCAGGATAACACACCTTTGGGGAAGGGTTTCTGTATTTGAGTGGTTAGGCAGGTCTGTTCGGAATGTGAAAATTCGTTGAACTGTACATTTAGGATGCGTGCACTTTTCTGTATGTACGTTATAATACACTAAAGGTTTTTTTGCTTTGTTTTAAGTTACCCTTTTCAGTGGAGGGAATGGAATTCTTGGAATTCTACCTAAACTCATTCTTGGTTTCACCACGAATCGATTACTCAACAACGTTCACTTCCACAAGCGAGAGTGGTCCGATGCTATTAAGTATCCTCTGGGTCCAGCGCCGCACCTACACCTCAGCCTTTCCCCGCCGTCCCCGCCGTCGGTCGGGAGAACCACCTGGTGCTTTTACCGCAGATGAGTCCGGGGTGCGTGGCCCCAGGCATCGATGAACCCAGACGCCTCCAGAGGCCACTCAGCAGCCAATCGCTCTGGGAGCTCGAGAACTCGAGTCCCACCTCCTCCCCACCGGCCGGGGTTGGGTTCCAGCCCCGCCCCCAGCCTCCGAGCTGGCCGAACAGTCTGCAGCTGCGCGAGGCCGGAATGGCGGCGACCCTGACGCTGTACCCAAGCAGCCGCTGCCGTTGGGACGAGCCCGTGCGCATCGTCGTGCGCGGCCTGGCTCAGAGGCAGCGGGTCACGCTGCGCTCGTCCCTGCGCGACGAGAAGGGCACGCTCTTCCGGGCCCACGCGCGCTACTGCGCGGATGCTGGCGGCGAGCTGGACCTGATGCGCGTGCCAGCCCTTGGCGGCAGCTTCGCGGGGCTCGAGCCCATGGGGCTCCTCTGGGCCCTGGAGCCCGAGAAGCCTTTTTGGAAGTTTCTGAAGCGGGACGTGCAGACGCCCTTCGTCGTGGAGCTGGAGGTGCTCGACGGCCACGAGCCCGAGGGAGGGCGTCTCCTGGGCCGGGCAGTGCACCTGCGAGACTTCCTTGCACCTGGGGTGCGGCGGGAGCCGGTGCGAGCGGGCCGGGTACGCGCCACGCTCTTCTTGCCGCCTGGTGAGCCTGGGTTGCCT